CTCTCTCTCTCTCTCTCTCTCTCTCTCTCTCTCTCTCTCTCTCTCTCTCTCTCTCTCTCTCTGTTTCTCTTATCGCCGAGCCTTCTCACGAGCGACTTGTCTCGCGCGGACCGCCTCTTCCTCGGCGACCTGATAATCGGCGCGCCCTTGCGCTATGCCGCCTACGATCGTTTTAGTTTCCTGCGCTCTCAATGTCCTCTCGCCGAGGATGTCGAGATCGTCTCGCGACGCTCGTGGCATACGGGAATCCGAAAACGGGGCGTCGAGCGCGCGATCCTTTCCCAACGTGAATCCATGTGGGGCGAGGTGAACTGTTGTTGCCGACGGTGTCTTCAACGTGGAATGACGAGATGGACTGAAGTGTGACGAAGCCCAGCGACGTCGAAAATTCATAATCGTAAGTACAATGTCATCTGCATTAATTTGCAATTGTGCATTGCCGTCGTGGTGGATCGGTTCGCTTCTTTGTGTGTGCTTTGTGCTTCATTTTTATTGATAACCATTCAGTGTGATGTTTTCCTTTTGCTGCGTCATCGCATTTCGTGCGATGATTGTTCGGTGTTTGTGCCGATTAGGGTAAGCTTAAGTATGATGAGGTTATACGGAAAAAATGGCCATAAACTACAATTTCTCCAATAATTGCTAAGATAATATGCTCTTGTGTTGTCATTCTTAAATATGGCCACTATACCTGTGCACGGAAAAAACAATTCCGTTAGGGCAATCGAATTTTCGGTTGCTCAGGGATCAGATAAAAATTCGGCTGTAGGAACAAAAAAATTCCTTTATGAGGCTTTATGTATAGTCAATTATTCTCAATTGCCTCAACCGAATCTAGTATCGCTGGATGTTCAGACGAATATTTTTGGTTGCGACAACAGAAATATTAGTTTTCATAACAGAGGTATCGCTTTTGATCACTTAATTTTCAGTTGGTTCCTATTCGATTGCAACTGAAATCTTTTTTTGCGTATGAGTTTATCCTATTTGCGAAGGGACGTTTCTCGCGGCCCTTGCGGGAAAGTGACAGCGCTAAAAAATCGTGCGATGTGCGCTATTGTTTAATAGTCGCTGAAAAACGTTCGTACCGACGAACACGCCGTGTTATTTTGCCGAATCGATTCCGTCGGCGATCGTCCTCCGTTATAGCCGTCCATTGGCCGACGGGAAGTAACTGTCAGCACTCAACAGCAACACATATACATCTCGGTTGTTTACTACGGATGTTCTCCACAGACATGCAATTGTTACAGGTAAACCTGCAGCCGGCGGTTATGCGCAGGAAGAATATTTCTAACGTAATGTCGTAAGTTAGCCGGTTGGACGGGTCGGATTTGCGCGGGTCACGTCATAAAAGGGGAAATCCAAAATAGGAATAAAAGAAAAAGAAAATGTGCTGCACTCAGGCAGAGAGTGCCTTTGATGTCCGTTCTCTCAGACAGAAGGAAAAAATTTGGTTGTATGAGATTTGTGCTGGTGAGGAACAAAGCAACACGTTCTGATTGAAAAACATAGAATTGCTATAGGAATAAGTTTTAGCAACAAATTTAGGCTACGAAAACCTCTAAAACTTTGTGCTTTTCGACCAAAACGCGTTAGTTTATACATTAGAACCAAACTTTGCGCAAAATGTAACTAAATTCGCTTCCCCGTCCAAAGAAACGTCACGGGAAATCATCACTTATAATGACAAGCCGTACAAGTGTTGGCTCGCTAGTTGTACAGTTTGCTCCAATATGCGCACTATAATGAACCAATCAGCAGGTAGCCATTTACCGTCGCGTTATTACCTCATATTATCCGCCATACCGGATTTGTATCGGGTGTGTGTACCACCCCAAAGAGACCGTCGTTTGTATTTATTCTCGCGGTCGCTCGACCGTAAAAGCCGCGGGATTATCTTGGCGTCTGCCGACGGTCGCATTGTTTTCACTCGTCCGATCGCTTAAAGACCCAAAACGTACCATCATGAGAAACTGATATCCAACATTCAATGTCGCCTCGCGCTGCGAAATCGTGAGGGCGTCGAGACGTGTGAAATCACAAAGTTCGACGATATAGAGCGGCGCGAGTTCCTCAAGCTCTAGACAGCTGAAATACAAAACACTCAACGATGTGAGCAGAGAAATATGGCGAATGTAATTCGAAATGTCCGCCGCGCCCGCAGTCCTCGCTCACGCATACGGCAGAAGCTGTTTAAATAACTTTCACATGGGAAAGCGCAATCCTATGGGAGCCACTTTTCCGTACCTTTGTCTCTAATCTAATCCGATACGAGGCGCGAGAAGAAAATCGCTTCAGCGGCACAGCACTCGATGATTCAAAGCGTTTAGAGTCCACTGATACTTTACTCAAGAGACTCGTGAGCGTATTGTTTCGCGTGCATACATGTACACGCACGCAGGTGTAATATGTATACATACATACGTAACACGTATGTGTGTATATATACATATATATACGCACACAAAGAATGTTGTGTGTATATATATGCATATGATATAATATATACATATGCATATATAAGTCGCGTTCACAAACGGGCGACGTGTTCGTTACAACGTTAGATCCTCGCCGAGCACCCACCTGTACACCGGGTCTTTATCGAGCCACGAATTGTTTGCGGAATGAAAATATTGTCCCTGTAAACAAGTGACTACATTGTGCCGGGCGCGCCGTTCTCTTCGTTATAACAAATCGCTCCCTCCACACCGCGTAGCCCCTTGGAACACAAGCACGCGCAATCGAGAGAGAGTGAGAGAGAGAGAGAGAGAGAAAGAAGGAGAGAGAGTGGGAGAGCGAGAGAGCTGTTTGTTTCGGTTAGTACCGATCCTTAATCTACGATTAAATAACGATTTGCTATTTGGCTTAGATTACGCGTATCGCGGGCCTCCATCGATCCGATCGAACTCGGCGGTTGATCGAACGGCGGCTTTCAGACAGAGAGGCGAAAAATTCGACCGTCTCACGGATGACGGGCCGACGAGGGGAATTCTTCGTCGGATACCGAGATTCTCGAGGCGAACGTCCCTCTGTTTTTTCAACTGCGCTTTTTTATCAAGCGTAGCGACCAGGGGCGAATATGCGTTACGGCCGCGTGATTACGCAAACTCGTGGCGCGAGAGAGGCGGCCGGGTCGTTGGTTTAAAAATTTCATCCGCCCGAAATTGCCCCGTTTAATTTTTACTTGCCGCGGTTGATTAACGATTCATTTATTATTCACGAGTGGATTATGATGTAACCGTGCATTAAAAAACACGCCGACTCCGCGATATTAAATCAATTAAATATTAAATTACAACTCGCCGGTTTTTCTCTATCGGGAACCATTACAAACAGCGACAATGTCTCGATAAATATCCCGACAGATTTCATATTAAAGTGGCTCTATCAAGTCATCAAAAAAAAAAAAAAAAAAAAGAGAGAAA